GTAAGAGAAATAGTGGATGAGTCAAAATAATATTTCTGCATGGCAGACTTGCCACCTGTAACAACCCCAACGATGCCAAGTAAGATACCCTGGCTCTGCCTAGGTTGGTAGGTTCCTACAATGGAAACCGAAAATAGAATGGGACATAGCCATGTGATTTCACCTGACTCCACCTATCAATAATGCGATTCTGATCCCACATCCTAAAAGCCATTCACTAGTGGGTGCTTTTGTGGTTATACTCGACTGGAAAACTGGATTCTTCTTCTTGTGTGTGCTCACACATAACTCTTGGTCACACCATACTTCATACCTCAAATGAAAATTAATAAATCGAATAATTTTGATTACAAAATTTTATACAATGAAGATACGTTATCCATAATTGGTAATGTTTGTACCATACTTGACCAATCCCAAAATTACTGAGCACCGGTCAACGTTATACCGTCAAGGATCCAGAAGAGTTTCCCTCCAACCAGAAGGCCAATCACAGCGCGATATGTGTCGACATTAGAAACCAATCATAGCGCGACATGTGTCAACATCAGAAGCCAATCACAACACGACACGTGTCAATGTCAGAATGAAACTAGAAACTCTCTTCTATAAATAGATATCATTCTCTCACAATATTTCCTAATGTCATTTGTACTAAATCATTCACTTGTACTCACTAAAGGAGAGCTTGAACCTATGTACTTATGTAAACCCTTCACAATTAATGAGAATTCCTCTACTACGTAGACGTAGCCAATCTGGGTGAACCACGTACATCTTGTGTTTGCTTCTCTATCTCTATCCATTTACATACTTATCCATACTAGTGACCGGAGCAATCTAGCGAAGGTCACAAACTTAACACTTTCTGTTGTACCAAAGTCCTCACTGATTTTGTGCATCAACAGGTAATATGTATGCATTCTTCCATAAAGAGATCCAAGTATTATCTTAAGTTTAACACTTATCCAGTATATCTGGGTCTATTAGACTGAATTTAGAAATTTAATTAGCTGAAATCATATCAAAATGTGTTAACTTAAATTACTTTATGCATTAAGGTTTGTTGTGTCCATAGAACTGTCCTCTCACAAATTGAACAAAACCAAAAAGACTCCTATAACGTATATAGGAAGATAATGCCTACTATGACATGGCAATACCAGGATTCAAAAACCAGAAAATTGAGGACAAACTGACATATCCTTTATTGTATACCCCTTTATTTATCTCTTTTATATATTTGCCTTCATTTCTCTTATTACATCATTATCTTTCTGGATAAAAAACTGACTGATGCAACAAGAAAAAGTTACACACTCATTATTATTTATTTATTATTCTTTTATTTACTCAATCAACATATAAAAAATAAACAACAATGTGCAAAATAAATAATGAGTGCGCAAAAATCATTTTTCTATAACAAATTACATGAAAGGCTTTTTTGGTAAATAAATTACATGAAAATTTTTTTGTCAGTGAAAAAGAAGGTAATTAAGAAAGAAGAGGGTAATAGAAAGGCTGACAGAACTTTGTTGCAAAAACTAAAAGATTCGAAAGGATCAATTGTAGTGCAGCATGTGGCATGGTGGGAAGCTCAGCAAAGCCTCGGGTTTATCATTGTTATCTTGTGCTGCAAAACCAGGTCACATTAGTACATGGTTGTAGACTACTTGTGTCCAAGTCCGTCCTCCTCAACGATCCCAAACAAAATGTGGCCTCTTGTTAATCCCCCATTCCCCTTAAAACCCAAGATCCTTCTGTCGTTTAAGATCTTGCCTACCCTAATTTATAGGGTAGCTAGTACCGTTGTAGTTGTACACTAACTAATAGCTAGCCTTTTACGAGAACCTGAAGAGAGAAGATCGCAAGATGCTTCTTCGATATCAAATCATGAGTCTTCTCCTACCTTATTCACCTTCTGAAACAGACGGGTTCCTTAGAGTATCTCCACCACCACTCTCGAAGACTTTTTTAGGGGCTTCAAGAAAATATCAAATTTCTGGAGGAATATTGTCTTTCATGGAAGGTTCTTACAGTAGAATTCATACTATAGTGATTAAAAGATTAAAAAATTATTGTCAATTTCATTGGAGTACGATGACTGTTGATAAAAACAGTGACTATCTGGACTATTGGTTTCCCAACGGTAAAATAAAAAGTTTACAAGTGCGGTGTGAGACTCTTGCTTGACGCTGCATCAACAATTGTTAACGAGTAACCTACACCGGAATGTGAATCATTCATGTGGGTGAGGTTTGTTTTCCACTCAAAATCAACATTTGAGTCTACTATTTGAGTCCCTATATGATTTTCACATTTGTGGATTTTTTTAAGATCTCCTGCGAGTCCTTCTACTAGAGGGACTTCAACTCAACCTCATTGGAAACCTTCTACACCCTATACATAAGGACATACAACGGTAGGGACAAAATTTAGAGCATCATTGGAGATGCTCTCAGAGAAATGGTAGAGGTACGAAAAGAGATGAGAATAATGCACATATGATATATATCACAATTAGTTGACGTTAGTTTTACTTAGGGAAGAAGTTTGAGCTTACAAGTTTGCATTGAGTAGTCTATTAATAAAAGAAAAAACATGAACTAAGTTGTAAACTCAAAGATTCGGACCCTAACTTGAATATATTGAAACGCACTCACATAAATGACTATGAGCTACTAATGCATGTAAAGTTGATGTGCTTTAATGACTCCGAGTTGTTCAGGCGCATGAATCCCAAAATTCATCAATAAATGGATGTTGTATCCAAAAAGAATATGAAAAGGAGGACTTTGCAGGATTAGCGTCGTGGGAGCCTGTGGAACCCCGTCCGATGGAGAAATGAGCTATTATGTGCCTCTGCATCCGGCCTATGCTAAGATACCACAGAGACTCACAGGAGACGTAGATGAAGTGTCACAAGTCGTAATGATATAGTATCTTTGTCGCGTCAAACCACATTGCCAAAACCGAAAAGAGCTATTGGCGTATAACAATTCTTGAACATGAGAAACTTACCCAATTTGGATCCTACCTCTTCCCGTGAATTTTCCTGCTTCCCAACGAAAGAGAGATTTTTCAGAAGCCGGTACCCTACTATCATTCATTATATAAGTAAACTAAAATATGTTTCTTTTATTCATTTATATTATAACATATAATGTACTAATTCGTGTTTTGAATACACATAAAAACATATCCCAACCTATAAGTACTTCACTTTGTGGGTTGGTTTTTTAAATCAACAAGGACCCCGATTTGACCATAATCACAAATATCATCACATGTCGATAGTTTGCAACTTTACATCATTTCTCAAGACTGGAAAACCCACCCCCGTCCATTCCATTGGATATAATAAACTTCTCTAGGAATCTACCAAAAACAATTGCAGGTGTACAATATATTTTTGACCATATTAGAAATCTCAATATTTCTTATATTAGTAAAAAAAATGTGATGAGGCCGTGTAGCTCAAATAATTTAGAGAATTTATTAGTAATTTCATGTTGCAGTCCTAATAGTTTAAGAATATAATTGTGTAAATCTTAAGATATCGTTATGGGATTCTACCATATTTTATCTTTAGTTATTATGCTATTAGAGTTGCAATCCTACTGAAGTATGGAATTTACATTCCCTACTACTATATAAATAAAGACACTTTCTCACCTCAAAATTCATCTAATTCTCTCTATGCTTGCCGCGCACCCTCTTTCTTTATCTCTCTATAATTCTTCAGTGTCTCTCTATAATTCTGCAGTCAAACAGGCCTACATTTTAGAGGTTTTAAGCTCAATTTTCTCCACATAATATTGCTTGTACAAAAAGAAGCTAATTTATTGCAAAAAATTAATATTACAATCACATTTTCTTCTTTGGCCTTTTTTTTAACAATGTGAAATTCAGTACAGTTAGACCATCTCCAATCCTTGAATTAAAAACTAAAACTTAGGTTTTAAACTATGGAACTTTAACAAAAAGCACCCGGTACTGTTCACTTTAACGAAAAACCATATTTTTACACTAAAAAGTCAATCCTGGTACTATTCACTTTACCCTTTATTTTGTCTTTATTATTAAAACTCAAAGTTTTTAAGCCATTTTCGTTAGTTTCCTTTTAAATTAACCCAATCTTACTCCAATGGCGGGGTCCAAAATAAGTTTTGAGTTAAAACCTAAAATTTGGGCAAATTTAACCCAGAAGTTAGGCTAGGGTTAAAAGGTTGGACCATCAAAATTTATATTTTTAAACTAACTCAGTCATTCTCCAATGGTTGAGGCTAAAATAAGTTGAGTTAAAACCTAAAATTTTGGTTTTACATACATTAAATTCCAATGGCTGAGATCGAATATGATAAATCTAACAGTAAAAAAATTAACTAGAACGGTTAAAGCAATTAAAAAACTATTTAATTGTGTTTCATATTCTTTCATGGTGTTTCATAAGTTTCATGAGATCGGTTTAATGATTTTTCAATATTTATTCGAATCTAAATATTTTTAGATTAAAAGGTTTATAAAATAAATTAAAATAGTCTATATAATTTTATTTAAAAAAAAATTTATTTTATATAAAAATATAACCTAAATTTATTCTTTAATAATTTCGGATAAAAAATTTAACCTAGCATAATGGAGCAGAAAAACTATTTTTGGTTAAAACTTAAATTTTTTGAGCTAAAATTTAAATAAATTTATTGGGTTAAAAACTTTAGGTTTTAATACAAGGATTGGAAATAATCTTATCAGAATTCAAAATTACTTGGACCAAAAAAAAAACCAACTATATGCCTAATTTAAATATTAAAAAAAAACTAATAAAAAGAAATTAAAAACTTTGAGTTTTAACGATAAGACAAAATAAAGAGTTAAATAAATAGTACCAAGATTGATTTTTTAATGTAAAAATATGATTTTTCGTTAGAGTAAATAGTACCAGAAGTTTTTCATTAAAATTCCCTAAAAAAACACACACAATACGATAGTTATAGTAGCGTAATAACAAATATATAGTATACACTCGCAAACCGCCATTACCTTTCTTAGATACAAAATTGGTGGAGATGATGCATGAGAGGCTCAATCCTTCAATGGTTCAGTCTCTCTGCAGCCACCTAAAGTCAGTAATGGAAATGCCCCATGCAAATACGGGACACAAATTGATCTAAATATTAACCGTGCATGGCCCGACCAACCTTAGTAGTAGTACCTAACATTCATATGATGCCAATAATTTTAATTAACCCTACGATTTATTTATTTCCCAAAGTCTCATTCTAAGAAAGAGGAGCTCTCTGAGGAGCACCCTTTCTCCTGCTGCTAAGGGAGAGGACAATCCCCGGGAGGAATCCGCTGCTTTTCTTCTTCTTCTTGATAACCCCCGGTTCTCGCGACATTATTGAGTCGCTGGTGGCTTCGCTGGAGCATGACGAAGCTCTGTATTGCAGAGGGTCTTCTATGGTGGAGCTAGGCATTATGTGGCCATCATCCTCAGTCATCTCTGAGCCGTCCATGCGTAATCCTTCGAACTGAGAGATCGTGAAGTCGGACGCATCAAATCGGTAGAGTACACCAGATAAATCTTGCCCTTGGTACACCAGATGGTCAACCTGTAACATATATATTTGTTACAAGATATACCCCTAGATTAAGAGAGAGATAGTATCTGCCTAAACCCAAAATTGAGAAAAACCCTCGATGCCTCTAAAATACTATTGGATCAAAGAAAACAAAATATCAAGACCATAGTTGAGGTGGAGTCAAAAAAAAAAAAAAAAGCAGTAAACTGAATAAAATTGTATGTGCAAATGGGATTTTTATCTTGAAGCCATGCATAAAGCAGCAGAGATGCTTCCAACATATATAGCAAATTAAGTAAGAACATTGGCGATGGCTTAGAACCAGTGTGTGTCAGAAAATATGCAAAAGCCCTCAAATAGGCAATTGGAAAGTGAGGGACATGAAGATGGTGATGAATGGACCTTGCACGAGAGAGAACAAAAGTGGAATGGCTCTTGGAGAATCCTGTCACAAGTGAGGCAGATATTGGCAGAGCCCTGCTTGCAAGTCCTGGACTGTGTATGCGGCCTCTGATTCAAGAATATCACTTTGGCACCGTTAATTGTATAGGGCTGCCAAATAAGGAACAAACTTGTTAACACAATTGAAAAAATAAAAAGTAATTTTCTTTTTTACTCTTTCACGTTTTCGTTTTTTCTTTTTACTCATTTTTTTTTTTTGGTTTGATGTAACGATATTCACTGCATTTGGGACGTGAAAAATCAACTTTACCCAACATTATAATGGGAAAAATGTATTTCTCAATCTCCTAGGAAAATACATGAAAAATTACTTACCATGAACTCTTTTTTGCAAACCAAACTCAAGACGGGAGATTTGAGTTAAACCACAAAATGAGGCTACCATAATTATTAAGTATTGAACTTATCATGCAAGTGAACTAAACTTTAAAACCTTCTACTTAATAGTGCAGATGAATATTACTATACCGTTCTAGTACCAAATTCTTGGTTTTATTTTGTAGTCATACCTGGATATAGGAACAGTCAATCAGCTTTTCAAGATCACCCAATCGAACCACATCATGGTATACATATCGTCTAATCTGTCACATGAAGCCAAAACAATGTTAATTGGACTTGTTTACAGCCACAAATTGTGATTTACCATACAGTTAACAACGCTGAGGTAAATTTTCTGCAACATGTGACTGAAAGTAATTCAGTAAATTTGCGTAGTCCAAGTACAATTTTCAACTTCAAAAAGTTCGAGAGCCAATTATTTACCCATCAGGCAATAATAAATTAACCAGTTGGAAATTTAGGTGAAATGAGTAGCTAGGCAACCAATCATGAAGGAAAAATAAATGAACTGAGAGCTGAATTGAATTGAATTAAAAGGAGTGGGATCTTTTGGGAATATAAACACTAGAAAATGAAAATTTGGAAAAAAATTATTATATGGTCAAAGGTTTCGCTGTTATTGAAGGCGAAAGCTGAGGACCTTTGTAGGATGGAAATGGATAGAAACAAAATCTTCCATTTGTAGGATACAAACCAAATGAAAAAAAGTGGGAATCAACGAAGGCATCATGAAACCTTTTTGGAATACCATATTTATATTTTTATATAAAAAAAATACATTCAATTGCAATTGCATGGAAAGATGACCGGAACTAGAAGAGTAGTTCTATTGAACAAGACAATTTTGACGGATTCAAAAATTCAACAACAATTAACTTCATCATGAATTTCCTTTTTAATTTGTTTGTTTGGCCACACTCAAGAGAGTAAAAGTTTCCCTTTGTTGAAAAAATTGAGCAAAAGTTTGGGAAGATGTACAATTGCTTCGTTAACTCTGATATATAAGATACCGCGGAGCATATATTAGAAAATCTAAAAGTATAAATTACAACATTTCAGCCAGAGATTTTGAGACAAGTTTTAAAAAACAACCACAAAATACTTTCAATTCTTAGAGATTAAGAGATTAAGAAATGAAATGATCGAAAGACCTAAAAGAAAGATCAAGGGTAAAATTCACAATCAGTGAGCTCTCTCTTTCTGAAAGAATTTGTTAATTGTTCGAAGAACCAATTTATATAGAGAGGTAAAAACAATTCAGGCAAAGCACATATGTATAGCTACTGCGCTACCTGAATTCACTGGATAGCAAAGAAAAAGGAAATTATGAAGTAGCAGACAGATAATTCTACAGTAGAATTCCACAATAATTTCCAATACACACCAAGTGATCAAGTTCATAAAGAAAAAAGTTACAACTAGCTAGCTAGCTAGAAGTAGAAGCCAAATGGAAAACTTGTAAAAATGCAAAAGGGTAGATGAACGGTGAAATTTGGTGACATAACTTGATGAGTGAGAAAAGTAGTATCGGAGTACCTGCAGGAGTGGGTGGAGGCGGTGAGAAGGGAGGCAGTGGGGGCAAATACTAAGGCAGCAGTGCAGACAGAAGACGTTCTTCTCATTCTTCCGGCGGCTGTCGTGGACCTCGCACCCGCCAAAGAATGTCTCGGCCATTAAACGCTCAAGCCATGCAGGCTTAATAGTGTTTCCACCACCATGGCCACCATACGCATCTCTCACCATCCCTTAACTCGCCCTCTCTCCCTCCCTCCCCTCTTTCTCTCTCTAGCTTTGTTTCTCTCCAAAGAATATGAACGAATTGTGTTAATTTGTTTTTAAAGAAGGGGGAAGGAGATGGTATGAAACAGAAGGAGAAGGCCTTTAAGTTTAGCTACTATTGTTGCAATAGCTAGCTAGCCAATTAGGCCTCTTTTAAACGAGGGCTTAATCTTGTGCGCCTTTGGTTTAGGTTTTTTTTTTTACCAAGTTGGGTTTCAAAAACCCTAACTTAACTAAGTGCTATTTTATAGCAGGTGGAGGTTCAGAATTATTGTCGTTTTTAGACAAGAGAGAGTGAGTGTATGTGTTTTTATTTGAAAGAGAGAGAGAGAGAGAGAGAGAGAGAGAGAGAGAGAGAGAGAGAGAGAGAGAGAGAGAGTCTAATGGATTGGGTGATGAGGTGTGAGAAGAATGACTTATAAAAATAAGTTCATCGTCAAAATTTAATCTAATAATAAAATATCATGAATTGCTATTTACTTTAGCGGTAAAAAACATGTTGAATTCTTGCATAAAGGTGTAGATTCGAACTCCATCGTTAGCTAATCTAACATTTAGTCTAACAAAATGTACTGTTTGACAAAAAAAAAATCATGTTTAAGTTTTATTTTACAAAAAATTGCATTATCAAATTAACATAAGTTTTATTTTACTAAAAATTACATTATTATTAAATTAAAGTAGCGGTGAATTATTTTATGAAAGCTGCTCTCCGTGAGGTGAGAGTGCATGTGGTGTGGTGTAGGATGGGATAAGGATTTACATAAAACAAGTTTATCATCACGTAGTGTTTTTTGTCCAATAATGCATTGTTATGTATAAATTTTTCTTTGCATGATAATATATTATTAAATTAGAATGTCACATAACAAAGAACTTGTGTCATGTAAATGGCCTCTTTTAGGATGCGGAGTAGAGTTAATGGTGGGGGAATATGATCCTCATGATCATATTAGTGGGAATTCGGATGATCAATCAATGATGTCTGTTTATCGTACATCGTGTAGTTATAAATTATTTTAAATTAAATATAAATAGCATCTAATGAAAATTGACTGCAATATATACGATGAATAAACATGATTGATTCATCATCTAATTCCCATAAAGATGATCAGGAGATGATCGTTGTCCAACGGTGGAAAGGCAGCCCACCGTGTGTGTACTTTATCTGCACTGCAAATAGTGCGCAATAATACTATAACACAATTCCTTTTTCCACAGTGATCTGAGCGCCTCCCATTTTCCTATTTAATTTACTATGCATTTTTCTGCCTTGAACCCTTTTGCCGTACTCAGTTCTGGCTATAATATTCCCGGAAAATTAAGATTAATTTTTATCATTCAGGTCAGAGTGTTAGGTCAAGCTTCTTCAGTAACTTAATTTTCAACAATATAATCAAATCGTATATTGCATAGTATCTAGAAATTGATCAACTTTAAACTCAATTTTGCATTAGAATTGTGAAACCGCATCCGATGGAAAACAAGTTAATATCCTATTTGTAAATGATCCGAGACAAATAAAAACGAAATTGTTCTCTACTTTTATGGTATACAATTTTCTTAGTAACATTAACATTATACAAATAAATTACACTAAATAAATTACACCAAAAGTTTGAGTGAAAACCTGAATCGGTTTTCCTGCCAGAATTGCATTTGCATGTGTTATATATGTATGCAATAGAAATAAAGGAAAATTAATGAAAATGACTTGAAAACTTTGAGTTTTAAGTTTTAACGATAAAGACAAAATAAAGGGTAAAATAAATAGTACCATAATTAATTTTTTTAATATAAAAATATGATTTTTCGTTAAAATTATCTGGAAATAATAAGTAAAAAGAAACATTTATGGACAACTTTATAGGAAGTGTTGTCTCATCTCTTGTAGAGTAGTCCCTTCTTGAAAATAAGTATATGTCTTAATTAGATAATTTGACTTTAACGCTTTTTGTTCTAACTAATGTATTTTTTGTCTGTGAATCAAAACCCAATTCTCACTTCAAATGTGAAGAGACTATATGATTGGAATCTACTATTTGCATTTTCTTTATGAGAAATGCTAACGACATTTTCTCAAAATTCGAACTCTTTATGGACTATCTGATATCTCATACTTTTAGCAAAATGTTTATAATGTTGGTACAAAAATTGACGTTAAACGGTAAGATGACAAAAAGTCTATAAAAAATCTCACTTTACAAAATTTCCTTAGCATTTCTCTTTCTTTATTTTATGCTTCTGTCAGACAATTTTCTAACTTTAGAACTATGGAATTTGTTCCATTAGCTTTTGATCAGTTCATTATTCATATCTGGGTCCATTCTTTCTGCCACACAAAACCTTTCCTCTCCCACCAAAAAATATGCATCAACTGATTCCATTCAATACTATTTTACCCCCCAAAAAAAATCAGTTCTCAATCATCCTGTTGTAATTATCAACTAAACATGATTATCTAGGGGAATCTGGATACTCGCCGGATCTTTTTTGTAAGGATTCTAGGAATCCGTGAATCATCCGTTCATCTTACATCGTACGGTCAGAAATTATTTTTATTATTTTTACTTAAAATTAAATACAAACAGTGCCTGATAAAAACTGACATACAATGTATGATGAATAAACACGATTTATAAATCATTAGAATCCTCACCAAAAAAATCCGAAAAGGATCCTATTGGTACCTAGGGGCACCCAGATTGTACAATATCTAATGCAGTAACAAGAAAAAAGTACATTCTTCTGGCTTATTATTTAATAACAAATAATATAGGATGACCATTGGTTGTTTTGTCTGTTTAAGCTGTAGGTACAATCGCACCACCTCGGTTAAATAGCTTTGCCATATGACCTACAGCTCCTTTACTTGTATTTATGCATATTTGGTGACTGGTGTGTCCTTTTATTTTCATTTTTGTTTTTATATATTAATACGTTTATACGTTGTTTACAAGTTTAAAAGGATATATACTTGGTCTGTCGATTTTCTAAATTAAAAAAATTTATCGAATTACTCAAAACTGTTTTGTTATGTATTGAATGACTCAAAAACACCTAATTGTAGTCATGTTTGTCTACTAATTTTGGGGAGTGTGTCCTATTTGGAACTTGCTCATATGCTCGAATTCGAGCCCTTCGAGCCCAGTAGTGATAAAGACGGAGGTTCTGATGGAGTGTAAAATTTATATTTTTAACTTTATCACGTGATGAGTTATACAGATAATGATATATAAAATTCGTTGTAGATAATTCTTTTTTTAATTAAGGTCGAAAATATGTTTAATTAATTGAAGGATAAACATTATTTTTTAACTTTATCATGTGATGAAAGATACAGGGCATAATATATGAAATTTGTTGCAGGTAATTCTTTTTTTTAATTAAATTCGAACGTATGTTTAATTAATTGAAAGAAGCAGTATAAACATTGAAGGATTAGAAGTAGAAAAATGGAATTTGAGCAGTTTATAGTCATAGTTTAGGGTTTTAAATGTGTTTAGAATAGTGATTAGTAGTTTTATATCAAACAACAAAACAAAGGGACTGAAAAATGGAGACAAGAAGGAATGCATGCATTCTGCAAACTCAGCAGCTACATCAAGCAATGGTTGGGTGTAAAATTAGGCAGAGGTGCACGTGGAAATACAGTGGGCAACTAGCTTTCCAAAATATTCCCTAAAATAGTTAAATTGCGATTTAACATCAGGGGTGCCATGGTGGCTTAGGATTCCTATTTCTGTCGTGTTAAATCTTTAAACTTAATGTTGGAGGTGGAAGGTTGGAGCTATATGATGCATCTGCATTCTCCGAGAGATGTCGTGATCGTGTTAAAATATTAAGGGTAATGCTAAAGAAATTAAGGTTTAAACCTTTAAAATGTTATTAGTTTAAGCTCTTTACTTGCACTTAATTTGACATCTATCTTTTTCTATCCAATTATTACTCGGCACTTGACCGGCATTTCCTTCAAATTTCACCAGTTTTATTGAGATAAAATTATATTTTTTATTTTTTTAAAATGAACTTCGTATGAGATTTCAAAAAGAATGGTAATTTTCGACGCTCATGGTACTCAATTTCATATTCAAACTTAATTTGGCTAAATCATGCAGTACAAACCACAGTGATGGATCCTATCTCTCTCACTTGTAGCTCGATTTGGTTATGACATCAAATGTAAAAATTTTAGTTCATATTCAGAGTTTAGCCATCTCCACTGGACTTGGATTGTCTGCCCTCCTAGTTGTGGTGCCCTTCCATGCCCTCCTATTTTGTGCGGTCACGATTAAGCCACGTCAATATTTTATATTTTTATTATTTTTTTATCTTATTATCTCATTAAAAAATTAATATAAAATATTGACGTAGCTTAACCGTGACCGCACAAAATAGGAGGACATGAAAGGACACCACAACTAGGAGGGCAGACAATCCTTGTCCATCTCCACTTGGAGTGTTTGACTCACGTATATGCGAGGACAATATGTATTTGTGATGCATCAGTACGGAGTTCTGACTAGGCCCATTACGATGACGTAACTTTGTTTTTATTTATTTTTATTTTTTTTGGTATACTGAAAATAATATTTTAGGGCAACAACAATAAAGTACGAAGAGCAAATACCTAAGAGGCCCAATTACAAGATTAACACAAAACAAAATTGGACCCCAAACAAAAGCCCAAAGCCTACTAAGTACGAGCACAAGTGGGCCAACAAAGTTAAACAAAAAAGAGCCCAAAAGAACAAAAGAAACCCTAATCTTCTTCTTCCACCACCTCTGCTACAGGGGAACTAACTGGATCTGCAAGCTTTCACACCTCCAACCGACAAACGCCTCTCCAATCGCATCAACCAGCCGCAAGCAAGTTTTCGAACGCGACCACATAGGAAAAAACAAGTCAGAAAGTAGAAGAACTCTCGTGGCAATACCCGAGCAACGCTGCCAACAATGGCAGCAACTAGTGAGAAAGTGGTGGTGTTAGGAACACTTGAGCCAGTGAGAACACCGGAGCTCTACACACTCTCTTGAGGAGCCGCAATAGATCGCAGTAAGCAGTGACTGCAAATCGAATCGGAGATGGTCGAAGACGATGAACGCCGGTGTGGTGTGAGGGACAAGCTAAATCGGGGTGGGGAGCAGGGGGAAAAAGCAAAATCAGGGAAGAAAATACGAGACAAAGGGCAGGAGGAAGGGATTGCCACCGCCCCCAGC